GGTCATCTAGTCCAACCCCCTGCTCAGGCAGGAAACCCTATACCATTTTGGACAAATGGCTGTCCAGTTTCTTCTTAAAAACTTCCAGTGTTGGAGCATTCACCGCTTCTGGAGGCAGGTTGTTCCACTGGTTAATTGTTCTAACTGTCAGGAAGTTTCTCCTTAGTTCTAGGTTGCTTCTCTCCTTGATTAGTTTCCATCAGTTGCTTCTTGTCCTGCCTTCAGTCGCCTTGGAAAATAGCTTGACTCCCTCTTCTTTATGGCAGCCCCTGAGATATTGGAACACTGCTATCATGTCCCCCCTCGTCCTTCTCTTCATTAAACTAGACATGCCCAATTCCAGCAGCCGTTCCTTATATGCTTTAGTCTCCAGTCCCCTAATCATCTTTGTTGCTCTTCTCTGTACTCTTTCTAGAGTCTTACATTGCCTTGGAATAAAACCTTAAGTACTCATACTGGGTGCTCATTGCTTCTGAATTCCCCAAAACCTGATGGGTAGGGAACAGAGCAATTCATCTATCCAATCCTAAGAGACTCAGTCTGGCTTAGAGTTATATTGCCAGTATAATGCTTATGAATGTAAATGCTGAAGACGAAGATAGGGTTACCTTTAGGAAAATGAGGACAGGTTATTTTACCTTCCTGTTTCTGATCCTGTTCTCTTGCATTACATCCAACCATAAGCTTTCCACCATTAGGATAAAAGTCCATATCACCAGTGGCATTAAACATCCCAAACCCTGTAATAAATTCAAAATATGTTACATGATTAATCCCTGTTGTTGCTTCTATAATAATAATAATAATAATAATAATAATAATAATAATAATAATAATAATAATAATAATAATAATAATAATAATAATAATAAAGTTGGAAGGGACCTTGGAGGTCATCTAGTCCAACCCCCTGCTCAGGCAGGAAACCCTATATCATTTCGGACAAATGGCTGTCCAGTCTTTTTTTAAAAACCTCCAGTGTTGGAGCATTCATAGCTTCTGGAGGTAAGGAGTTCCACTGGTTAATTGTTCTCACTGTCAGGAAGTTTCTCCTTAGTTCTAGGTTGCTTCTCTCCTTGATTAGTTTCATCCATTGCTTCTTGTCCTGCCTTCAGGCGCCTTGGAAAATAGCTTGACTCCCTCTTCTTTGTGGCAGCCCCTGAGATATTGGAATACTGCTATCATGTCCCCCCTCGTCCTTCTCTTCATTAAACTGGACATCCCCAATTCCAGCAACCATTCCTGATACGTTTTAGCCTCCAGTCCCCTAATCATCTTTGTTGCTCTTCTCTGCACTCTTTCTAGAGTCACAACATTCAGTTGTATCTGGCCATTTACCTAAAGGAAATCGGGCCCCGTTGCTGTGTATGACATCCACAAATCCAGCATCAGAAGGATCTAGCCGGACCATCTCAGGGAATCCTTCAAAACCAATTGCTGCTGGGTCTAAGCCTAAATAGAAAAAAAAATAACCCCATAAGGAAAGATAAAGTGAAAGAATAAGATAAAATTGTATAAGATAAAACAGAAGAATTTTATTAAGTCAATTGACTATATCAAATATATAAAACATATCCAAAAGGTAAATAGATAAAAAGAAATCAGAACTTCCTAATAGATCTTTACCCCTACAGTTAACTCCAAACTGATCAAAGTATTCTGTCCTCTTTGAGAGGCCATTGGAATGAAGGACATGGAAGACTCCTTCTTACTGAGGATGTGCAGGTTTGTTCCTGCAAGAATGTACAGATTTGTTCCCTGTTTCTCCCAGGTGCCCCAATATTTTTTAGATTTTAAAGAAGGGTCTAAATAAGCACCTCTTTTTGGGAAGTTCAATTTGCACTGACAAGAATGTGTCCAATTTCTTTAATGGCTGGTGCTCCACAAATGCCCAATCTGTCTTCAATTGGGACTCCATGAAACTTCCCATGTCTTACCTTGGAGTCCAGTTGTTTGAATTAAGCTCTAGAAACAACTCTTCTGAGATGGTGAGGCGTATGTAAGTTGTTAAACATTTTTCTAATTGGGAGGGTGATTTATGATGAGCCAGCCCTCCAGAGATTTGACACTTTTAAGTGCTGCAATATCATCTTGGGCAACCACATCAATAACTCTTTGTTTGAAAGCTTCCTTGGCCTTTAGATCTGGAAACTGGATGGAGAATCTATATTGAGGGTGGCCCAGTCCAAGGTTGTTTGTTGTATAGTTGCTCTTCAAAGTACAGATTGGATAGTCTATCTGGGTCCATGGATAGGATCTCCAGCCAATAATTAAATACTTTAATTATTAAATGGCTTTGTATACCCAACTCTGCCCTTTCTGCTGGGGCTGACATAGAGTTATCCACCCCCAACATGCATTTCAGAAAAGTAGATTGTATCAGTTCCTATAAGGGGGCATTTATATATTCCCCACAGTTCTGCACCATATGTAGTCATTGGGACAATTTTGCTATTATATACCTTTATGATTTGAATTAGAAAATAGGGTTGGTAAATTGCCTTCTGGAATTGGCATAAGCTGTAGCCTTTGAAGAACTCCTCTTAAAATGCGGGAGCCAGGAACCTGTTTCTGTGAAGATAAGTCCTAAGTATAAATAGGAACTTACTTGTTTTATGCATCCCCCTCTCTAGGCTCCAATCTGGTCCACTTCTTTCCCAAAATAACTATCTTGATGTTCAGGTATTTGAGTGCACAGTCTGTACTAAACCTGTGCAACAGTCTTTACATCCCTACTGGGTGTGTGACATCAATATCATGTCATCAGAATAAAGCAGAATGTTTACATTTTTGTTTTTAACTTAAGACATATACACATCGGAAGAGTGAAGGAATGTTGGGGTGTCATTGATGTACAGGTTAAACAGAATGGGAACCTTGTCTGTCTCCTTTCTTGGTGCTAATTTTTCCAGTTAGGGATCCATGCATTCCTATGCTTACCATTAGGCATGAGTTTGAGGGTAATTACTTGATTAAAGAGAGGAGTCTGGAGTCCATGATCAAATCCATATGTTTCTTCCAAAGAAGATCCCTATTTATTGAATTGAATGTTGCACTGAGATCTAGAAAGGCTGTAAACAGTTGGCTACTTTTAATTATGCACTTTTCTATTAAATGACATAAAATGGAGCACTTGTCAATAGTGGAGTGACCTGATCTAAAACCAGTTTTGTCTTTGGGAAGCAGGTCCTTTTCAATTACCCTATCCTTAACGTTATGTAAAAGATAATTAGTATTTGGGGGGGTAGAAGATCTTCTTGGGGAGACTTGTTGGGCTTCAGGGTGTGAATTAAACCTCTACTTTCCCATTCAGTCACTGGAGGCCATGGTGGAGTAGAGCTACAGGCCTTCTGTTGATCATTTTGTGTATTCTCTACAACTTGGGGAAGTGAATAATTGACTATAATATTCCTCTCATGTGGAAGCAGGTATAGGGGTCTATGTTCCCATAATAATCCTACAACTGAGTGCCAGAAAATGGCTAGGTTTGGGTTTTTGGCTGCTTACTCTAAATTTAACCAGAGAGAGGACAAGCATTGAGGCTTCTTCAGCTTAATGGTTTTCTTGTACTCTTGACTGAGAGCTAGCATGGCAACATAATTATTATTTGATGGATAGTTTTGTGCTGTATGCATAGCTAGCCTCAGGTTTTTTTTCCTCAGAGAGCTATACTCTCAGGCCTTTTATCTAGATCCTTCTAGGTAGGGCCTTTTCAGTTAAGAATTTTCTTTGCTCTGCATTTAGGTTTTTACGGGCTGTAAAAACAGTGATGACATCTGTGCAAGATGAGGTAACTGTGTTTACCAGTCAGGGCTTGATCAGATTTCATGTATTCAGTCAAAAGCCTTATATCCACTCTGTCCTGATGGATCTCTACATGAAATGAAACTCATCTATCAGTTGTGGTGTGGGGTCTGCGGTCTGATGCCCACAGAAATTAACAATTGCTTGGTGGTCACTATTCTTTCTTACATAAACCCAGAAGTCTGAGAAAAGGGGCACATTATTGTTAGAGACACATATGAAATCTGAAGCACTACTTGATTTTTTCTGATGGTAAGTAAAGGAATATACAAAACTTTGGACTTTGCTCCTTAAGATTTGCAAGTTACACTTGCATACCAGATTTAACAGCTCCATACCGGCAGAGTTTCTTTCCTTCTCCCCAAAGGACCATAAAGGTAATAGGGAATGAAATTCTTTGGGAATGTTCAGATTACTAATAAGATCTTGATTGAAGGCCCTTATTCAATTTTTGTAGTCGCCCGTCTCAGTCCTATCATCCTTCAACATGATGGACATCTAAATTTTGACACATCTATATTCAGCATGGCCTCTCTTTGCCTTTTCTAAAAAAAAAACCAACCAGGAAAAACAAAGAAAAAATGCCAGTTGCAACTGCAACTTGCTCTGCAGCTTTCCCAAATGTTAAAATAAAGTTAAAATAGTGCCAGTACAGAGTGTCCAGTACAGAAACAACAGAAAGACAAGGAGAATGAGAGAGATAGAATGGTTTAATAGCATAACAGGATATGTGTATATTGTCAGGACCAACTCAATATTCCTGCGTGGCTGTCCAGCTTTTTGTGTCAGCAGAACAAGATGTTACACCAGCTTCCTATTCTTCTAATTGATTTGTTCAGTGAAAATTAGAAACAGATATTGTTAGTCTCTTGAAATAGCTTCTTTCCTGAATGGAAATTCAAGTAGTCTTCGACCACAATTGAGCCCAAAATTTCTGTTGATAAGTGAGATGTCACTAAATGAACTGTTGTATGTGGAGAACTACCCATAGATAAAAAGAGCACAATCCCCAACCTGCCTGAAACTGGGAAATAAAAAGGGAAATAAAGAATGCATGTTGCCTTTTGAAATTGGGCATGTTGGCTGCAGTTAATGCTGTCATATATGTATATGTATATGTGTAAGTGTATATACAGTATATATGTGTGTGTGTGTATACACACACATACATATACATAAATCCATACATATACGACAGCATTAATTGCAGCCAACATGTCCAATTTTACACATTACACACACACACACACACACACACACACACACACACACACAATGGACAATGTGATTATGAAAAGATTAGCAGCATTTCTTAAGCAGGATGCTTAATGTGTGTCACAGGAAGGCTAAGAATCAGCAGAAACAACTTATTTTACCTTTAACCTGGTTAAGTTTCCCAGATTGATTGACTTCCACTTCAAGCCTTCCTGTATTTCAATCAAGATTGCAATGTGTGATAACTTTGGATAGCATACCACTTATTCTTCCAATGCCAGGAGATTTTTTGCCAACATATTGAAGTCGTCTTCCAGCCTCTCCAGCAGTATGAGCACCAAGACTATGGCCAATGAGATGGACGTTGGAAGGACAATACTGATAGATTTTCTAGTAATTCAAGAAAGGGGACAATGATTAGCAAGTAAAACAGCATTCTGATAATTTGCAGATGAATCAGAATTTTCCTGTATTGTAATAAAATTGACCTACTTTTAGGATTCATAATGATGTTGATTACATTGACCACAGTTCTCTACAGCTCCTCCTCTTCGAAGTATACACAAATCACCAGACAGACTTTGATCCATGGTTTAAACAGAATATTCTGAGCAAATATTTTTACCTATTAAAATTGTATGAAATTGCAATATAGTACTCCAAAATTAAATAATTTATAAGATCTAGAATAATTTCAGTTGGACTTTGTAATATAGTGTTTATATGAAAGTAAATCAGTGCTCAAGTGTTTGTTTAAAATGTTTAGGATGGATAGAAGTTATATAAATATGTCAGAAGAATTCAGTGCCCTTTCTATTTTGTGTGAAATAATGTTTCTCAAGAAGAAATGCCATTTCTATTAGATTCATCCACAAGGCTTCAAAAGACATAGAAATGCCATGGATGAGCATACAGTAGATAATAATTTTTTCATATTGTTATTAACCAAAGAGGTTCTTGTAAGAAATGTTTTTAATTAAAACTATTGGCCTGATGTTATAGAATTTCACATTTTATTAATTGTTGCTTATTTTTTATTGCATGCTTGATTATTATCTCCCTTATTGGAAAAATAACATTATTATTATGTACACAATAAATGTGAAATCACATCTGCCAGTTCTTTGGTTTATGCAATAATCTTTCAACTTTGATTTTCAGATCTTCATACTTTGTGATCTTCGCTAATGCTTTGTCTTCTATTCTGCTATCCCCTGGTATCATAACATAAATTATCCACACTATTTTCTTTTCAACTACAGTTAAATCTGGTGTGTCTACATTTTATCAGTTCATATTTTGAAATCCCATAGTATTTTAACCTGCTCATTTTCAAATAATTTTTCAACTATATGTTCCCCCAACTTTTCATTATTCATTACCATGCCATATTTTACAGACGTTCCAGTGAATTATTTTGACAACTGTGTTATGTTATTGTTTATATTTAGTTTATGTTATCTTCCTGCAGGTGCTGAATATAATCTATTGAGTACATATTATATACTGATTGTATCTATGATTGTTATATTGCACATGGAACTTGTGGCAGTTCATAAGAGTTTTAAGAATCAATTTGATTTACTACAAAATCAGGGACAAAGGCCTTTGTCATTTGACTCATCTGAGAACTGCTAGGTTGGTCTTTCTTATAGTGACCCACTTGCAGAATTCCTTAAGATGTGACAAGCACATTATTAACAGCATTTTGAAAAGCCCTCAAACCAATTTAATAAGCTACATATTCCCTACAGGATGTATCTGATTAATTTGCTTCAGATTTGGTTTGGCGTACTGATGTTTTTGCCATTTGTTAGTTTAATATTCTTAGATAAACATTCTTAAGAAATTTTAGTACTTAAATATTGTCTAGGTTTTTTTTTAAGAAAAGAAGGGTATTAATGCCAAAAATTGCACTGTGTAACACCATGGGGAAACCTTTAAAAATTAGTATCCGTTTTATTCTAGATTTTAACATGTTCATATGAGAATCTGAAAAGATGCATGGTGCTGTCCAACCTTGACAATTTTAAGACTTACAGACTTGTGGAATTTTGGGAGTTGAAGTCCACAGGTCTTAAAGCTGCCAAGGCTGGACATCCCTGGCTTAGAGGCTTGATCTAAACCAGCGGTTCTCAACCTATGGGTCGCGACCCCATTTGGGGTCGATCGACCATTTCACGGGGGTCGCCAAGCAAGGCTATCCGCCATTTTTTTCCCCTTTTCTGGCGGGTGCCTTACCTCCCTTGAGCTGGGCCAGCTGGTGGTCGGCCTGCTCCGTCTCTGCCGCTTGCCAGCTACGCCTCGGCCGGCGCAGGGGGTGGAACCACGCATGCGTGGCACTCCCGGGCAGGGAAAGTCCTCGACTTATGACCGGTTGGGTAGTCCTCGACTTACGACCAGTTTAGTCCTCGACTTACGACCAGTTGGGGGTCGCGGCATTAAAAAGGTTGAGAACCACTGATCTAAACATTCCTATTTTAATATATAAAATGCTTTTAAGTTTATTTTATACAATTAATACAGATACATTGGTAAATAGATAGTATGTCATTTCTGCAGGTAATATCAGGGCCTTCAGTGTTTCATAATATATTTAACTTAAAATCTCACCATCATAGTAAAGATAAATTTAGCTATCACCGCTCCAAGGACACGGATATTGCTGCCAGCAATGAAATATGTGCATTTAGCTCCATCTTCCCAGTCAACAGCAAAACAGTTAATGTCTTCCACATCCACCAGAAGCTATAGCATTACAGTGATGTATAAAAAAAATTACATTTGGATGATGAATGTCAACAAAATAGATTCTTTAAAAAAAAAACACCTGATCACCAAGTTCTTAAGATCCACAGGGATTTGTAATTCAGCCCCAGGCCACATAGTCCTGGGTCATCTACCAATTTCCTGCACATTAGCACATATAATACACATCATAGTGCTTTATGAGTAGGCAACAACTGATCTGTAAAATATTCCTACTGAAATCTTATGACTCATGAAAAGAAAAACACTCCAGTTGCACAAAGGGAAGAAAAACAATAAAATCCAGCAAATGATCCAAGGGCATTATTGTAAATAAATATGATTATTTTAAAGCAACCAATGAAAACAATTGGAGGGTTGTTTGGAATAACAGTAGTCCCCTGATGTATTCTAGATTGCCAACCCATGACTTAAACCATGTATTTGTTAGGCAAAAGAGGCATATTAAAATTTTCCCCTCTTTTTCCCCAGAATAAGAAAATCTCATACCAAACACAGCTCCACAACCCAGCCATATTTTCCAGTGCTTGTATATCCATGGATAACAAAGAGAGTTTTCCTCAATGGGGAGAAGTTAGAATTTTGGAGACTTGATATTTTATTGTACAATATCCTCTGCAGGGGAATTTAAAGATAATGATATAACAAATTCTTTCAAGTATCTAACATTTTCAAAGCAAAGAATGTAACATATTTTCTTGCTCCAAAATATTCTCATAAAGCCAAACTTAACAAATCTCTATATTTTTTAATGAGAAATAAATGAGTGGGCTCAATAGTCTCACCCAGTTCATGCCCAAATCTAGGCAATTGCTAAAAGCTCTTTCTTAAAGTCTGAAGTAACATCAGTGGTGGGATTCAGCCAGTTCGCACCACTTCAGCAGAACCGGTGGCTAATATTTTGTTGCCCAAGCCCAGAATGGACTTCTGGAAGCAGCATCCACCCAGAAAACCGGTTGTTCATATATTTGAATCCCACCACTGAGTAACCTACTGTATATCTTTTAGCTACATATACCTTGAATCTTAGATTCCATTATAAATAGATGTTTCTGACTGCTTCCAATCGACAGTTTTACCAATTAACTTCACAGTTTCTCTGACCAACATATGAAACAAGGTTATCATGCCATTGCTGTTATCCAGATGGCAAGAAAACAACAAAAAAACACTGATTTGCCTTAGTCATCAGATCATGTGGTCAAACCTTGCAGCCAATCTGTTAAAAAAAAAATAGCTTTTTTCTAATTCACAGTTGCAAATATCTTTAGCCAATTTTGGTATTTTAGGTAACTCAGTGAGTTGATTAGTACTAATTCAGACAATTACTGGCCAAATAAGAACTATAATTGCACTGATTTGCAACTAGCAATGTTAAATACATTATTCAGTATGCATTTTTATTCATCTAATTAGTCAGAGTCTAAAAAATAAATCCATCTCTGTTTCTGGATGATATGGAAGAAAAAAATAAATATATGTACAATAATAAATAAATTATAAACAGATAATAAAATAGCAGCAGGAAGCAACGACAATAGAAATAATAATAATCATACTTGTGAGAGATTTCCAGTTTCTTTTGTGAAAAGGGAGAAAGAGATATTCATCTTTTCTGGAGATGCTGGTAAGCCAAACAGCTGTCTCCCAGGTATTCCTGACCAAGGGGGTTTATCAGAAAAGCAGCCTACTGTTTCATAACAGACTTCATTGGCTAGAGAATACACAAGGCAAATTCTGAAAATAATTGGATTCATTCACCTTTTTTCTAAATTCATTCATTTTGTACATTTGTAAGTATAAATATTTCCCTGCAGATAATTTTAGGACAGCTCACCTTAAATATTTTAAATGTGCATACCAGTATTTCCTAAAATACTGCCTTCTAGATAAATTGAACCAACTATAGGCATTCCTTGTTTAGTAATTATCTTGAACAGTGACAATTTGCAATTACAGTGGTGATGAAAAAGTAACTCTGTGACCGATATATGCATTTACAATCTTTGCAATCTCTCTCTCTCTCTCTCTCTCTCTCTCTCTCTCTCTCTCTCTGTGTGTGTGTGTGTGTCTGTGTATCCTTGCTTAGCAACCATTGGGACTGTCATTAAGTATTATGGTCATTAAACAAAATGTCATGCCATCGTTTCAATTGTTAAGGGAAACACCACAGTCAGTAAGTGAAACTTCACATAACTATGACTTATGATTTTACCTCTGCCTTCTCTAACAACACTGTTTATTCACCTCAGTTGTGAAGCACACAAATGGTAATCACTTTACCATGAGACGCTTAAGTAGTCATAAATGAATGCTGGTTGAGAAAGGTCTGAATGGCAATCATATGATTAAGGAATACTGCAAGGGTTGCAAAACTTTTTTTTTACTCTGTTGTAACTTTGAATGGTTATTAAATGAGGCAGTTGATAAACAACAAATACCTGCAGTACAATATTGCATCTTTTTCCATTCCCCCCCCCAGAGTAGAAAGATGGCTTAAACAAGCTAGCTTTTCCTGAACTGCTTTTTTCTGCAATGCAGTGTATCCCTAAAAAGTTAACAAGCTTAGCATTTTTTTTTCTTTTTACGACCCTGTAATCCCTTTTATTGGGGTGGAGTTGGGATGACTGAGCGTTTTCTGACCGAATGCTCTTCCAAATGCCTATGACGAGTTCACAGCAAATATTTTCTCTTGGCGCCATGATAGAGAAATATCTGTTGCTGCCTCTAGGCCAGACATGTCAAACTCGCGACGTCACGTGAAGTCGCGCAACGTATTGGAACGGTTTTGCCATTGCTGGCAATGGGGTAGGCGCGGCTTCTGGATGACGCGTCTGGCCCGCGGGCCAGCAGTTTGACACCCCTGCTCTAGGCTATTATGCTTAGCATTATGACCTTCATTAGCTGATTAGATCCCTCTGACCCAATGGCCTTACTGCCTGAAAATTTTGGGGGTTGTATCATTTTGATGCTGTAAAGCAAATCTGAAATAAAATTGAAGTCATCTGATTTTCATTTAGTGATGACTTAAGTGACCAAGTTCAGTGACCAAGTCACTGAAACAAATTGCACTTGCTAACAGAGGACTCTTATATTTTCATGTTGCTCCTCTAAAATTTGGCTCTGATCCACTATATTTATGTCTCAATCTAGATCAGGGGTGTCAAACTGCCAGCCCAAGGGCCGGATTCATCAGAGCAAAACCATGCCCACCCCATTGCTGGCAATAGGAAAAAATTTGCAATAAGTCGTGACACGTCACATGATGTTACGAGTTTGATACCCTTGCTCTAGATAGTTCATAAACTTGAAGAGGGAGAACAATTTATCACATTTATAATTAGATTTTATCACACATTATATAACATAATAAGATTTTAAGAGGTTAACAGCTAATTAAGAGAAAAAATTCTTTTTTCAAAAGAAACCTTGGAAATTTAAAATATAATGGAGCTAAGTCATAGCTCCATTAATGTTCACTTGCTCTTCAAGAAAATACCATCAACTTTTACTATAATAGTTGGGGAAAGACAGCAAGCACAAATATAGAAAAGATCTGAAATTTTAAAAAATTGAAGAGCTCTACCATTCATTGTAGACAGTAATCAAACACACATACATACACACGAACACATGACATCATGATTATATACAGTTGGAATTGCACACATAATAATACCCTACAAAATACATGTAACATCATTAGGTTCGGTAGCTGTATTTACTTGCTGGTACAGCTGACAAAAATTTGTACATGAATTAATGAAATTAATTTATATTAATCAATATAAAATATGAAAAAGAGTATTATTATCTACTTCTTTGTTAAACTAAACATGAAATTGTTCTGAGGCAAAATATAATGCATGGTAAATTGCCTTACCGTCTGCTGTGCCAACAAGGAAGTAGACAACAATCCAAATTAGATTACTCTATAATAAATTTGAATAAATAGATTAAGTCTTGGTAAAGCTCATTAGCACTTCATTCCAACTGAATTCATTTTCTTCAAGCATTTGCTTAAACAATTTAATCTCAGTGTTATCTTATCTAATCACATTCAAATGAATTCTGTGAGACTATCTCATTGATTTTAGTGAAATATAATCATAACCTCTTTTTAAATCTTTTTCTACATGTTATTTTCATCATAGTGTCATAGCCACGAAGTGCCATCTTTGCTTTAAGTTATGCCAGGTATGGCTGGTGGAAAAATATCTATATCATACTTACTTTCCAACAACACTTTCTCTTGCTCTGTCTGGCTGAAGTTAGGTATATAAATACCCAGAATCATAGTTATATAGAAGATATTGTTTTAAACATCAAAGGACTTCTTTAGAATTTATATATATAGTGAATGAGAAAAAATATATTCATATAATGCCACCTATTCCTGTCTCCAAAGAAATGTAGCTAAACCAGATCAGTTTGTCTGACTTTACATTTGGTTTCTATAAGCAACATCAAAAGGACACTGCATTTAAATATTAAATAACTGATAACATTAATGTCTTATGTAACACTTAGAAACACAAACTGTAGCTCTTCTTTCACTATCAGTCCACAGACTGAATTCCCATGATAAGCTTCCACAAGACAGAAGTAATATCTTTAAAACTGTCATGCCACATGAGACAATTGAATGGCAACAAGATATATTGTTAGGTAAATAGTACATATATGAACTTAAAAATCAGGACACATTATCTTTATTCAGCTGCATGAAAGCATGTATTGTACCTCATAAATATTAAATTTAGGTGCTGTACAGTATCTTCTCTCAGGTTGTTGAAGATATAGTTCTGAGGCTTTAAAAGGAGAAAGTGAAACTTACAGATGTTTGTTATATTGAATATACTTTTGATTGATTGATTGATTGATTATGTGATATAGTTGGTGTTGACTCTTAGTGACCAGATAAATTTCGTCTATGAAGAATTTTGTACATTATGCACCCATAGTTAAAGCAAATCATTTTTATGAGTTGAAAGAAAATAATTTGTACAAAACCTTGAAATAGCAGACATTTGTTTGGTTATGACCTAAATCAACCAGGTTTAGATTGTAATTATCACTTCATATTTTTTCTAAAATTTCTAATACTGTGTGCTGTAAATCTCATTGAACAGAGATGGACTTGCTTTTGAAAAACATGCCTAGTGTAATTGCAAACAATAGTTATATTAAAGGGATTTAATTCTGATGTTTTAATAATATGAACTGACCAACTAGCATTAATATTATTGTATTTTATCAAATTATATGGTGAACCGTATATCTGGCCTTGGGGTGTGAGTGTTAAACATTTGCATCAAAAACACCTCCATGATATAAAGATGGGTGAGCACAGAGAATCTGGTATGTATTACTGAGATCCAGCTACAGTAGGTGATGCTAATGATATTACTGCCTCTGAAATCTGTCTGGCTGGATTTTGGGTCCTCTTCAGCCTAGAGACTAGGACTGGGGTGGGGGTGGCACTGATCTATTAAGAAACCTTATCAGTTACCAGTGTTTCTGTTCCAGCAATAGCAAGGAGAGAATGCTTTTGTATTAAGTTGAGCTGTAGAGACAAGTTGGAGCCTATTGGCATAATGGCTTCTTTGATACTGATAGAGTTCCTTTCTTTACTCTGGTCCTAGTTACTGGACTGCTGGTGACAATTGTTGTTGGAGGACTTCAATCTCCATGTCTGAGGTTCAGTTGGGCCCAGACGTTAATGGCTTTCTTGGCTACCATGGGCTTGTTTCAGGTGTTCTTGGGTTCAACAATGTAGAACACACTTTGGACCTTGCCTTTCTTTTAAAAAAATGGTTTATGTGATTTGGATATATGGAACATTACTACTGTTCTTTTGCAATGGTTGGATTATTTCCTGGCCCAAGTGTAAATGATTGCCATCTGAGATGATTTGCCTCAGATACTTCATGGATCCCAATGATTTCTGATGGTGCTTGGAGAGTTTCCTTACAATCTGACAGGTGAATCTGCTGAAGGCATGATTTGCTGTTGTCATTCTGGGATGACCTCATGGTGTTCATATGAAGACTGGGGAGGAAGATGAATTAGATTCCTTTAGGTGCATGGTACATATTCCCATGTAACGATTGAGTGTAATATAGAATTAAATCAGCATTTATTTTAGTTACTAAACAGTTATACTTAAGTTATACTTTAGTTTGCCCTTTGTAGATCATCTGTATAAAGTAGGATCATCTTTTGTATTGTCAATTGAAAAACTTCAGAAAACAGATGGCCACATGGCATACAGTCCTTTTTAACTTGGATGGTCTCATTTTTGATAGAACTAAACACAACATTCCAACCAAGTAGCCTTCCAAGATATGAAGAATTTTTCCTTGGTAAACTCCTGTGAGATAACATAATCAAAAAGGGGTTAGAGTGAGGGTGGTTCAGAGCTGAAATAACTTAATCAAAATTCCCACAGGATGGAACTTTAATGCAGACCTAGCTGGGAGGATGTTACATTTTTGCTAGTTTTGAAAGGCTCCTCCTAACATCATATCTCAGATTCCCTGACTGATAGAAGGAATGTACAAGCTTTGCTTAATTGTCATATTGTGTTCTTCAGTATTCTTGAATATTC